GCACCGTCAGGGCGAGATTTATAGCACCCGCCCACCCCACACCACCCGCCTCGTTCTTATCTTCCATTCACCTTACGTGGAGATAAATCAGACCCAGTTCACTACCGCCACCACCACCACCACCAACACCACCCTTGAATTCCTTGAAAGTGCAGAAGATGACGTGAATCGTGCGAGAATCGTGACGTCGGGAAACCTCAAATGCCAGCAGCCACATTAGCACGAAGTTTACGATTTGGCTTCTTCTCCCAGTCTAAACCCACCTTACCCATCACAGACACAGCCATTTCCCTTACGCGACGGAGAAAACACTTGTTCGAGGAAGTTCTTTTGATATCAGGCGTTTGTTTGAAAGAAATGTCAGCTTAATAGATAGATTTTGACGCCAAGGATGCGTTAGGCGTTGTCGCACAGGATGACATCTGATCAGGCTTCGATTCCAGCGTGGTCAACTGCGTCACAAGAATGCATACAAGAACCCGAAAGCAATTATTTCAAATCCATATTATCGAAACCTGTAAGACCATATGTCCCACGTCATTCCTACGAGTTTGGCATGATGGCACTGCTGTTAGGTTGACATTTGCTTGCCAATCGACTTCACATGTGTTTGTGCTGACGCGACTTCAAGGTAGATGACATTTCCACGTGGTCCGGCCGAATTGATTCACCACACTTGGCAACAACAGTGCCCAAATGCAGAGAGTGATTCTAGTGTGTACAGCGGAATGCAATTTCGGCTGAAGCATTGTTGAAAGTGAAGGAATAATTCGCCGAAGCCGCAGGTCACTGAGACAACTGGCAAAACTCCTCACTAAAAAGCCAAAAGACATTGGCACAGATTCAACACTTACAAAGAACTCTAGATGCATCAATTGTCAAAGTTTGTGCTTAGGAGATGAGCAGGAGACGAAATGTGGTTTTGAGGCAAACATGCTCCATACAACGCGCATAAACGATCAACGAGTTTTTTGGCATGGAGAGTCCAGCACCCATTTTCGAATGCGTCGGCTTGATTAATAATGTGTGTCGACAACTTCGGACTTCCTCTGTGAACA